GGCCTTAGCTGAATGGACTTTAAAATGTTGAAAACTTATTACAATTACATAGGGACATACAGGGTGGAGCCACAATAGAGCAAATACATGCAGTGCATTCCGGAGGTAGTTCTAGTTGTTAATAACTGCTGCTGAATATATTGTTTTACTGCAACCCTAAAATTTTATTTACTTGTTAAGGATTTTATTTGAAAAAAAGCTATCATGTGAGGTTTTTAGATTGTTTCAGGACTTAAAAATAGGGAAGCTGGTCAGAGTTGATAAGTATATGGAACTAAATACAAGACAATCCCGAAAGAAAAAAATGTAGGAGGCTAAAAACAAAGAAGATTGCTGGTGACATCCAAAATCCAGAAGGAAAGCGACCCCAAACCTTCTGCCAAAGAACAGTGGATTGGTTTAGATCAAAACTTAGTCCTGATTAAAAGTCAAGACCTAAATCTGTTACTAGATTTTAAATTCAATGCTCATTGGTATAAATCATTGAATCTAACTGAGATTCAATCATTTATAAAGAAAGAATAGGGAAAATGTCAGTGTCCAAAACAACAGAGGGTGCCACTGAAGCTCCTTTACCATTTTGTGCAGAGAACTTTTTTTTATTACTTTTCCTTCTTCATGGAATTCCTATATTAAGATCCCAATATAATACATTCAAAGCGGGGAATCACCTGTGAAGATTATGATTGTTGCCTTTCCCATTGATGGGTGAGGCCAGGTTTTACTCTGTTCTTTGGGGCCATTCTCACCTTGCCATTTTTTTTTTTTTTTTTTTTACTTTTGCAAGACAAACAAGCTGACAACAGCAGCAACACATGTGAGTAATGTGCCAGCAGCCAAGTCAAACATTAAACCCTAAACCAAGCATGAATGAATGAGCTGGCAATAGCTGCTAGAGGGTCTTGCTATGAGACTATACACACATGTATCATCTGCAGAGTGGCCGCCTGCACAAAACAATGGATTAACTGGGCAGGCTCAACAACAGGTCTCTGTCAGGAGAAATATTTCACTCTCAGGTGAAAATGTATTTATTTTTAAACCTGATGTTATTAAACACTGAGAGGTGATGCACAACTCTTAGTTAGCAGAAAGTTTTATTCAGAACTACAGGTGGTAGAGTCCTTTTTCTCTGTTTGTTTGGTGTGTCTGTGTGGTTTCCCTGAAGTGCTGCACAGCCTCTCTCCAGGCACACAATAGTAGAAGTTATCAGCTGTAGCTCATTAATTAGCGTAATTAGCCCTGCTGTAGCTCACACACCCTCTCCGACAGTTTACCCTCCCAGATAAGTTTGTGAGTTTCCTTATCGGACACATTAATCACTTTGGATCCACTGTTTGCAGTTGCATTCATGCCTGTTATCTGTGTTAGAGGCAATGGAGGGTGCGGTATCGCAGAAGGAAACATGTTACACCTCTACATGTAGAGGATTGGAGTTAAATGGAAATAGCTAAGTGCTTTTAATCTTTATTTTATGACTTGCCATCATTAGAAATGACTGAGATATGTTGTTGAACTGACCCGGGGAAGTTATCCAGCAGGACTTCATTGTCTGAGGGAGGTGAGGAGGGAAACTTGATTTTCTCTCTATCTATTTAACACCAAAATGACCCCAGTCTTGTTAGTCAATAAAGCTCCAAGAAGCAACCCTGATTGGTGGATTGTTCTCAGGCTGTCGCCTCAGGAAGTGGCAGCATTCAGGCCACCCTGAAGTGGAGCTGCTCTCAAAGCTCTTTGAAGACTTTGCTCTTTTCCACCCTCTCTTCTGTCTGATCCATCTTTATCCCCTCTCCTCTGCCTCCCGCTCTCTATCGGTTTCACTCATCCTATTCTTCATGCTCCCTTTTATCCTGGGATCACTTCTTTAGCCCCTTTGATTTGCATGTCAAAACCTCCATACATTTCCCCCGGTGTTTGAATGTTATTAATGCTAATTGGAGGCGGAGAACTTTAAAAAGTTCTCGGCAGGTCTGTTTGTACACCTGGTAGGGTTTGGGTCTGTGTGTGTGTGTCCATGAGCCAGAGAAATCGTATGCCCCAGCTTTAACCCCTTTTACATCCAATCACATACAAATGCATCTAAGTAAACTGGATTGTGATCAGAAAGGGAATTTATTTCAGTCAATCAATTTTGAAAATGAATAAGATTTTAAGTCTTTTCTTATTATTATTATCATTATGGCATCCAGCTACTGAGCAATGCAAATACTCAGATTGTCAGATGGAGAGTCTTGCTAAAAAGCAATAAAGAAATTATTTTATTTGCAGATAATGTCATCATAATCTTTGGAACATTTTCTAGAGATAGGCACTGACATCCTTCCAAAGGACAGCAAGGCACTCAGTGTAATAGCTTTATTGGGTTAGTTTTCACTAAGCACTAAATTTAAGAATATTTGTGGAAAATTAAGTGAATGAAAGAAGTCTGGTTGATAAATGGGTTCAAGCAAAACAGTTAAACAAAGCAAAGAGAGAAATATGGAATTAGACAGACTTAAACTCCATAAGACTGTTGGTCATTACAGAGATGAAGAGACATTCCAACCGGCAATGCAGAAAAGCAGTAGGCCGCTATTAAAGCCTGGGCATCTATTACATTTCAATAGTACCTTAGGTTGAACATCTCCATGCTATAGTACATTCATGCAGTAATTCATGAATGTAGCACCCCACACCCAACCCCAGCACATGGACATACGTTTTTAGCAGGTGGAAATTACCCTGATAAATACAGATTTATTTGGCTTTTATATAATAGACTAGGGAGTGGCTACCTAGTGGTTAGTGCATAGAGCTTGGAATCCTGAGGTTCTGAGTTCAAGCTCCATTCCCACAGACTGCCACTCTGGGTCCCTGAGCAAGACCCTCACCCCCCCCCACTGCTCCCTGAGTGCCCCATGATGGCAGCCCTCTGCTCCTCTAGTGGATGGGTTAAACGAAGAGGTAAATTTCTCCAATTCCAATTCCAGTTCAATTATTTTTATTTTATTATCTATTTTCCCCGTAGAAATTGTATTTTTCAATTTAAATAAGCTGTAAGATCATTAACTAAATGAACATAAAGAAACTCTTAAAGAAACTATCAAACTGTCAGTAATTACTCCAAATATAAGTCTAACTTCATAAGTGAGAAGAATAGGTTTGAGATTTTAGTTAGATTCCAATTCAATGAGTTATGAAAAATAAATATATTAACATTTAGATTAGATTAGATTCAACTTTAATGTCATTACACAGGTAAAGGTACAAGGCAACAAAATGCAGTTTAGGTCTAACCAGAAGTGCAATAGCAGCAAGTGCAGGATAAATAATGGTTCCATAAATACAGAATATGCGTTTCTACTGAATAAATATAGAGATGAATACCATTATAAACAGAATCTTAATAATAGATTTGTCCTATGAATATAATATATAGATAACTAGTGTTATTAACTAAATTTACAGCTGGATATGTACTGAATATAATATACAGGTGGATATTGCTATAAATAGGTTTTTTACAGTTATGTACAATAGCATAACATACAGGTGGATTTTACTATAAAATGAATAAATAAAGTTTGGACAGAAGCTATCTAAATTAAAGTGCAATGGAAGGTAATTGCATATTACAGTTAAAGTACGTTATTGCAAAGCTATATGTAAACAATTGGTACTGTGAATAAACAGTCGGCATTTAGACATTTACGGCAATATTCATAAATATTAGCTTATTTTCTGTGATTGCTCTACAAGAACGATTGCTCTTCAGATAAAACTCATACAAGGAAGGTAGGATTGTAAAAACATAAACATTTATGTGCTCACACCGTGTAAGACTTTATAAGTATCCAGTTTGACCTTGAAGGGAGAGATTTATCAGCAGATGTGAAGTAAAGGGGTGAACCAAGTCCCACTTTTCTCTTATTTGACAAAAACTGTGTTTATAAATGTTCCACCCTCTCCAGCACCGAATTATGCTAAAGGTGAAAGATGAGTGCCGTCCTGTTAGCAGGAGAATAAGAGGCTTTAAAACTTTAAGAGTTATAAAAATACGCATATTGCCAAATATCTTTAGAGGAGATGGAAGACAGCTTCAGGTCTAAATTGGTAACAGTTCACATCCAAGCACAAGGATCAGCCTGTCAGCTGTAGCTCCTACAGCTTGACCTGAAGCTGCAGATATTGACAGAGCTTCAGTACATTGTCCGTTTATGCTATCAAAGCTTGGCAGCAGTCATGCATAACCCCCCCCCCAGTGTGCGCCTGTGTTTATTTTACCATTAGGGTATCATTGTCCTCTGAGAAGAGGTGCTCGCTGTTATGCTACAGTTAGCACGCGTGGCACTGAGGGAGCAAATTGGATTGGTATTACAGTATGTAAGCCTGCTGTTACATCCTGATGAGCGCAGACAAACAAATTGGATTGGTGGCGTGTAAATCCGAAGCAGTTTGATGAGCCGGAGGGGCAAATTGAATTCTCAACAATGTAAATCTGCATCAGCTCGATGGCTCCCCGCCCGACTCCGCCACTTAAATCACGCGCTTGTTCCCGGCTGTTCCAAGACACAATTGCTCATGGCCGTTTGCTGAAGCACCTAATATGTTTTTGATGACCGTGCTGGGGTGTAGCTGTACATATGGCCGGCTGAATCTCCCTCTGGCCCGCTCTGCCCAAATCACACTTGTTCTAGGGTTTTTTTTTTTTCCACAACCCGCACATTTGGCAAAGAAAGATTGCTTTGATAGAGCCATCTTTGTATGTTGATTTAAGTGATTACTCAGATGATTGGTCATATTAATGGACCTCCTGTTTTCTTGTGATCTCTATCTCTGGGATGACAGATGATGTTTATTTCTCTTTTCAAACTCTGATTAATAGACATTCTGTTTATCGGCATCTTCAGTAGCTGTTTTAGGAAATAAATACCGGGGGATAAAGGGAACGCTTCTGAAATATAGCTTCTCCTTCATGTTTGTTGCTCTGATTTATTCCTATTTTTTTCTTTCTTCTCCAGTTATCCGTACAGTGAGGACCGGCATCACGGGAAGCAGTACATGAACACCAGATGCCCCGCCTGGTGTGACCGAATCCTTATGTCACCTTCAGCTAAAGACCTGGTTGTAAAGGTCAGCCCAACTTTTGGTTCTAACAATTACATTTCTCAAGCTAATTGACATCTAAATGTGCTTTTCTTTTACATCTTTATCCAAAATGATGGCACCATCCCATGTTTGGCAAATTTCTTTTTGTAATGTCACAGCTGCTATTTCAGGGATTATTTTATGGATTTTATGTGGAGGGGCTGCAATGGTAGAACCCTCCGACCAAGTTATGTAGAAGACAACAAACAGGAAAGAGGCTGCTGCCTTTTAATCTGCATCCACACTTTTACATGAGGAACACAACAGACAATAATAGTTGAACTTTATTGATCTCACATTGAAGAAATGTATCTCTGCATTTAACCCCTCCCCTTGTGGAGCAGTGGGCTGCCAATGTGCGGCACCCGGGGAGCAGTGTGGGGTCTAAGGGTCAGGGACCCAGAGTGGCAGTCAGTAGGAGTGGGTCTCAAACTCAGAAACTCAGGATTCCAAGCTCTATGCATCACCACCACCCTGAATGCACCATACTCATGGTGAAACATTGTAGTGGCTGCATGTAAGCCTATTAGAAGCAAAGTTCTTCTAACTCGAGATGCGCCCTAAATGTTCACCCAGAATAATAATCTGGGATCAAATGGCCCAGTTAAAGTCCAAACCAAATACAACTGCAAAGTAAACTGGTGTCCACAGATACCCTCACCCCTAGCTGAGCTTTACATGCTTTAGCTAATTAAAAATAAACTTTTCAGTCCCCAGATGTGCAGAGCCAATAGAGACTAAAAGGTTGCAAATGTCTTTGTAGAAAAAGGTGGTTCTATGATGTACATATGAGAAAATAAACTGGCAATCATAAAACCTTCCTTTATGAAGGTATACTTTGATTTTTGTGGGTCTGTCACATAAAACCCCAGTAATACAATGTGAAGCTTCTAGTTTTAGACGGTTTAGGGACTTTTGCAAAGCTTTTTGTTTTCCCCCTGTGCTACTTCACAGATGGAAGGATGAGGTGTTGCTGAATATTATTTTTGACCCACTGATCCAAAGTTGAACCCAAACAGTATTTATCCCAGCCCTTATAGAGTTCTGTTGGGCTCCATCTTCTTCATAAATCCTCATCTTCCTCAGAGAGATTGAAGCCCTGTTTAACTTTGGATCTGACTCAGAATTGCAAACAGCAGCCAATCTGCCACCTTTTTGCTCCCATCCTCTAACAACCAGTGCTGTTCTCAGTGCGCTCTTGACTCATTAGTTTGTCTGCTGCATTACTAAGTGATCCTGCCAGCAGTCGAGGCACATTTTCCCAGATTTCCTTTACTCCTTTTTCTCTCCCTTACACCAAGCCCTCGTTAATCACAAGCCATCCAATTTCCATAATTTCTGACCTCCAAATATTGTGTTTTCAGCCACCAACCTCCTTTTTTAGGATGAATATCCATGCTTTAATCTGTAAATGTGTGTGGGAGAAGTGCAGCCGTGTGTTGTACAGTACCAAACCACAGCAGCAGGGGGGTGCTCGGGAAGTTTGACTTTCTTTTGTAGTCAACAAATGAGAAGAAATTCCTTCCTGACCTTTCTTCTCCAGTGACTAAAGCTTCAATGGATACCTGCAGCTTTTCTAAAACATCAAGTTTCGCCTGTAGAACAAAAGTGAAGGGAAACCAGTAACTATAAACCATTAAAAAGCTGCATCTCTTCTAATGTGTTACTTTAAACCGGATGGTAAAATTGATCTGGTCCTTACCCAGATGGAAGATTAATTAATTTTAACCTGAAGTGGACAAAAAGATACCAAAATATTCCATTGTTAAATATAAAGTACATTTTAAGATGTATCCTTTTTTAAATTTTACTTTATTTAAAATTCCAAGAAGCTCTCTTACTTGAGTGCAGTTTTTTTGTATTCTACCAACCTCGGCTTAAATGTCTTTTACTTTCTTTCTCCACAAGAGTAGAAAAAAAAATGTTCCCCAGTATTTAACATTTCAGTAACAGGATAAATCAAAGTTATGTCCATGAGAAGAAAAAGAAAAGTACACTGCAGTGGCATAAATGATTAAAAAACAATAAAAATGAACAAATATAATGAGATGATTGTATTAAAAAAGATGCAATAATTGAATAAAAATCAAAGGAACATTTGATTGGAAACAAAACGAATAGATTAGCTAGATACTTAGATTAGGTTAGGATTAGATAGCATAGTCAAAACACATACATGTTTAATCTCTTTTTAAAGCAATTTATAATAGTTAGGAAACAGCAATGTTGTGATCCAGAACAGCAATACCTACAGGTGCTGCTTTTTAGTGAGTCAATCCCACTGATTGTAATCAGATATTAGTCATACTGATGTAAATATAGGGTTAGGTTTAAATAACAGAGCCTAGTTTCACTAAATTATTTTGTAATTCGTCCTTATTGCTAAAACCATGAAATTCTACTGTGATTTTATTTTTAATTTTTTTTACCACAACTGCAGGTTCACAAATGTGTCTTCATCAGCCTAATTTATCAAAATGATGTTAAAGGTGAATCTCACTCACAGCTGGCTCCCTGTTTGCCTTTCTCCCCCTGAAGTGCCGGCTAATTGCTGGTAATGCAGGGCCGGAGTGGAACAGTTTAGTGCTTTCGCATATTGGCTGATGATTCACCGAGCACACACTCTCTGGCTCTGAGCGTTACAGATTGTTGAGACATGGGCCCGTAAACAGCCCGGCATGCGGCATCATCTATCATGGCACGGTCGGTTAACTCGCCATCATGTTATTTTCTGCTTGCCGAGCCCTAACACGCCAAAGGTTGCCCGCTGGCTGCGCGGCGCGCCACCAGCTCCGGGAGCGCCGGTAATGAATGTTTAGCCGAGCGAGCGCTCCCTCCCTGCCGGAGGGGCCCTCGGGTAATTTGTTTATCTGTCTAAAGATTACGCAGCCCGAAAATCTACAATTTTATGCTGCCTTTGTAAATTACCAAGTGTGTGTTTGATGAATGAATCTCGGGCTGCAGGAGGCAGCGGGACGGGGAGGCCCGTCACACGAATAGAGAGGTGGCTGCTCGCTTGGAGAGGTAGGGAGGTGGAGGCGGGCGGTGTGCTGACCCCGCTCCACTGCAGGATTGCTATGAAGTTAATTCTGAATTTGCTTTATCGCTCATTCTCAAACTCTGTACCTCCTTCCTCAGAAACATGACTCCAGATCTGTGTGCGTGGCTGTTCAAAAACTCTTTAGTTCAACTAGACAAGTCATGATTTATTCTACAGTCTGAAGGTTCATGTGTGGATACGTAGCCTCTAGGTGTGCAGAGAGGCATCCAGAAGCCCCGTTGTCTTACACTGCCTCTCAGATAAAAGTGTATCCAATCGAGAAGCAAATACCCATTCTGGGAATTATTCTGCTCTATTCCTTCCCACATCTCTGTACACAGATCTGAGGTGCAGCCTCCTGCAGACTGGTGGAAGGGTTCGAAATCAACTGAATGGAAAATGAAAAAAAACAACATTTGATGTTCCCACAGTGCAAACGTTTTTGTGACTTCTCTTAGAGTAACAAATAACTTAATGTTGTTTTTATATGAAATGTAGCTCCAACTGCATTTTATACCTTTTATATAAAGTAGTGGGTTTCGGTTTTTCTCTATTCCTAACCCAAACTTTAACTTTTTTTTAAACACTTAAAATCATAGTGAAGTCTATGAAATCTTATGTGTTTATATTATTAAAGTGAGTGTTTTAATACGCTTCATGGTGCATTCAGGGACAGACTGCTGCACCCTAAATGCACCATGGAGCGTTATTACAGATCCTTCCTCCCAGCTGCTGTAAGACTCTAAAACCACCACTGTTCCCAAAAACCTCAATACGTTCTTACATTCATGCTGATTTTGCACAGTTTCAACCTTAGTCAGTTAAATAACTGCTGCTGTCATTTTGCACTTATATTGCAAATTCTCTAAAATTGCAGCTATTTTCAAATATCTGTTACCGTTAAAAATGTCCATACCTGTATAGTGGGTTTTTAATCTCTAGGTGCACAGTATTTATATTGTTAAAACACTTTATAGTATAATATTTTATTGTTTATCTTTTTACTCTCCACTATTATGTTATTCTTATACATTTTTCTACGGTCCATATTTTTGTGACCATTTTTTCTATAACCTTTTTGCTGCTGTAAACACGCGAATTTCCCCAGTGTGGGAAAATAGTGGGATTTTCTATTCTATTCCATTATGATTTTTTGGGCATCAAGTTAATAAAAACACAAAGAGTAGTTTCTCAGAAATTTTGAGTTTTACATAAAGGGACTAAACAAAACATTTTAAAACACAGAAGCATGAACCTATTGTAGATTATCTTTATATAATGTGGATTACGTGCACCTAAGAGATGGTCTGTGGTTTAATGGAACGGCTTAATGCCAGGTGTGGAACAAATGTCCTGGATATACCTGGAAACTGAAATAGTGAAACCAGCTGCAAATTCAAACCTTAGGAATCCCATTATCTCTGGAATAAGCTTTGCTTCACAAAACTTTCAATGCTCCTATTCTCCTTGATGCTTGTGCACAGTTTCCTTCCTTTTAACTTTCCCTAATATACTTGGACAGAGCTCTCTTTAAAGAGCCGATATGTTGGGGCTAAGGAAAACATTTCGTTATCATTTTTTTTTAACTATACTTATATGCAATGTTCTGGAAAACACTTGAATTCCATAATAAAGCTCTAAGCCATAAAAGTATGAATAACCTAATATGTTTCACCTTTATAGAGATGGAAAGTTGGTTATGTCTTTCTTAAATCTAAGCTGTCTGATGACTACAGATTATGATAGTTTTGTGTGGTGTTTGGTTTAAAAGCAAAGACCATTCTTTACCAGCATTGACAATAATTTATTAGTATTTATTCTCTCTGCTCATTTAATTAAGTATACCAAAGAAAATGACAAAAGCTTGTCCATAGTGTCGCTGTCTGAAACCAGTGTTTGTTTGGTCTGCAGAATAGCCATTCTTCTTTCTAACATGTTTTTATTTTTTTGTCTCTACAGCCAGAAAATGAGGAGAAGTCTATATTGTATGATAACATTGGGCCAAATGTCTGCATGGGGGACCACAAGGTAATACCAGTTCTACCTTTGCTCACATCTTTCTCCATGTTCTGTTATGATTGATGCTTCCTTTTAATAGAAGGAGGTATAAATCCCTATTTGTGTTTATTCAACAGCCCAATGTTTATTTTCCCTTGTTTTCTGTAAATTCTGAAGATGAATTCATTGTTTTTCACGGTTATGATTATCAAATATTATATTCAGGGTTAGTAATGCATAGAAATGAAAAAAAATATACTAAATATTCTTAGCTGTACTCATTTATGTAAATCCACTCCTGTTAGATTGCCTGGTCAAAAAAAGTCGCCTCTAAAAAACAAAACAAAAAAAACAAGGTTATACTCTTCAGCAGTTAGCAGTTTGGACCACCTTTAGTTTGATTCAGCACTCATTTCCTGCACAAGCTTTATTTCCACCTAGTGTTACATTACTTTTTCACCATGATCTTGCATTAATGATGGTAGAGTCTGACCACCGTGCAAACCTCCTCCTGCACACCCCGAAGATTCTCAATGGGGTTAAAGTGTGAACTCTGTGGTGCTCAATCCAAATGGCACCTCGTGTTCCTAAAAAAACTCTTTGACAATTTGAGTTTGATGAATCCCGGCATCGTCATCATGGAATATGGCCGCACCATCAGAGAAGAAAATATCTATAGATGGATAAGCTGGTCATCCAGGTAGTCAGCTCATTCTCTGAGCACATGCTGTTACTGAACCTACATCTGACCAACTGCAGCCTCTCCAGACCATTGCACTGCCACTAAAGGCTGGTACAGTAGGCACTAGGTATGATGCATGCATCACTTCACCTGCCTCTATTCTTACCCTGATGTGTCCATCACTCTGGAGCAGGGGAAATCTTGGCTCCTCAGACCACATGACCTTCTTCCATTGTTCCAGAGTCCAGTCTTTATGATCCGTACCAAATTAATGCACTTTTATTTCAGTTTAGCCTTACTAATTACTGGTTTTCTAAAAGCTGCACAGTGTTTCACTCCCAATCCCTTCACATTGTGCATATGGAAATACTCTTACTTTAGGATTAGGGTTACCCCAATCCTCTGTTGTTGTTTTTTTCTTTGATTTGATTTCACCAAATATGTAAGTGAATGCAATCACATACTTTCAGGGATTTCTTCCGGCCACCTTTTTCCCTTGAAGACAATGGACCCCCCTATATAATTCCAGTTTCTAATAATGCTTTGGACATCACTTCACATAGTTTTGGTAGATTCAGTAATCTCCTTACATGTTTTCTCATCCTGATGCATGCATGACATCTTTTCCACGACCACAGGATCAGTTGTTTGACACAGTTGAAGAAACGAGAAACAATTCATTGCTGAAGTTGGTGCTAAATAACTTTTCCGAGCAATAGAATAAATGTTAATCCAGTAATTATCTGATGGGAGACTACTGACTATTTTCTTAGTTAAATTCACTTTGCTTTTTTTTTTTTTTTTTGCTTTTTGGCCAAGCCGTACACTTTGAACGCAACTATCTGTATGTATAAGGATTTAAAGTGCAGTCTGCTTTGATTTGATGAATCAAACTTGGAAAGAAAATTGTTGGTATAAATAAAACACTCAGTATCACCAAAATAAAGCTACTGTACAAAATATGGTAGTAGCTTGATTACTTTTCCCTAGATGGAACTGCCACTTTTATCGGGTTGGGTTAGAGGGGTTGCTCTAGAAAGCTGAGGATAATTTTTATTTTTAAGCGTCATATTGAGGCCAAACGAACATCTGGATGAATGAAAAATAACATTAGGAGGAAAATAAAGAGGCTCTTTGTGTGATGGAGAAGGCAGATATTATCAGCAGGTTATTTTCTGCTGGAGTCTTTCCTAAAATATGAACGCTTAAAAGCAAAGTTTTAAATAAAAGAAGTAATTTTTAGTTTCAGTTTTTTTTTTTAACACATTTATTTTACACTAAAAATGTAATAAGATTCCTTATGTTAAAATCTGTTTTGCAAAATTAGTTGGAGGCCAACAAAAACCGCAGAAAACACACATCAGTGCTAAGATCTCGGCTGCCTCTGGTTAAAAAATGTCCAGTGTAGTTGACACCCAGGCCCGAAAAAGCGCAGTGTTGCTGTGTGAGTTTAACCTGCATGTTAAAGGTGCTCAGAGGTGAGAGGAGAGCAGCGTGTCCTCTTCCCACAGAGCATCAACTGAGTCCATTTTCCTTTTCCTGACTGTGGTATGTTTCTGTACCCCCTGCCAGCCCGTCTTCCTGTCCTTCCGATTACCATCGCGGGCAGGTAAACCTAATGAAAATAAGCGCAAGTGTTGTGTGGTGCAGTAATTTCGTGGTAAATATCATTCTTTTTCTTTATTAACATTCTTTCCATTGTTGCAACTGTTTGCCTTGATTTGCTTGTTCTTTTTTTCCATTACCTCACACCAAAGCGATTGTAACTGGAGGTTTTCCTGTATGAAGAGTTTTATCCAGAGATAAAACTTCATCAGAGGAGAAATGTTAAATGATCGCTAAGACCTTAAAATGCCATGTTCATTTTAAGATGCTAACATATAACCTAGAGCTACATTTGTTTATTGTAATGTGAGAGAGAATGTCCTGTAGATGATAAAGTGCAAAAGTACAGCTTGGACCCTGTTTTCCAGTTTGTCATCTTACAACCACAAAATTACGTTTTTGAAGTTTGTTGAGATGATGAAGCTGACATAAAAGGTTTTATGTTGGATGCTGCAATATATTTGGAACAGAATAACTGATCCTAGTCAAAGTTAAGGCTCTTCAGCAAGTTTGTCCATTATAGAATAATCCCAACAAAGCAAACTGAAGTTTGTGATTGTAACATGACAACCTGTGAAAGTTCAAGAGATCTGAATACTTTTGTAATGCAGCCATCTTTTATTTCCAATACTCTGTGAATTGAATGTGTAAAAGTTTTTCTTTTTCTTTCCCGTCCCACAGGGAATTCTTGCCAAAGGGGGTTAGAACATATTCCATGAAGAGCCCCTGTGAAAACACCGGGGAGAAAAAATACACACGCACAAACACACACACGCACACCCAGTTTGCACAAGCACACACTGAAGATCCCAGACAAGCTTCTTTTATTTTCAGCAGCGCTGAGTTTTTTTTCCGGACGGCTCATCCGCTCCGTTCTCTCTCCATAAAACACTTGTCGAGATGCGGACGAGCACCCGAAGAGGGCCCCGGCTCTGTGCAAGAGATGCACATTGCTGACCTCAACGTTGCCATGCAACCCAAATACCCCAGAAGAAGAAGAAGAAAAAAAGACAATCAAGGCAATGAATAAACCACCCCTTTTTTTCTTTTTTTTTTTGTTCATGCCACAGCCTCATTTCCAGAACTCTAATCTAGATCAGACATACTACATGCTTTTAGACACCGTTTACTGGCCATGCTTAGGTATGCCTATATGTATAAAAGCTACTTTCCAGACAATATGTAATGTGTTTTAAAAAAGGAAAAAGAGAAAAGAAAAAAGTGCAATGCGACAAATGTTGTATATCTATATTGTTTAGGTTTATTTGTACATTTGACAGCATAATATAGAGCCTTGAATGGTTTTAGTGCAGTTCTCTTCTCTGACCAAACTTTATGGTCCCTGTTGGAATAAGTAGGACTTCTGATATTAGTTTATTATGAAACTATATTAAACTATATACTCTTCCTTCTGTTGCCTGACACATCAGTGGACTTTTTCATTTTATATGCTGTACTTTTTAAAGCGATAATTTATGATTCGTACCAAAATGTTTGTGCTGCAGCGGCAGCGGAGAGCTGAGGGAGTGGGAACGCCACGGAAACCTTCGGATAAGTTCACAAGGAAAACCTCTTCAGTGATTTATTGCCTATCCAAGAATGTTTTAAGCAGTGCCATAGACCATGGAATATATATATATATATATATATATATATATATATATGAATGATAATGTTTGATATATATAGTACCCTCACATTATGTCATTATTATTCCTACTCTAACCTCTAACTTATTTCTATTATATTATGGTTCTGAATGTGATATTTTAAGTAGCCTTGGGTGTCCCTTTAAATGCAAACTGTTTTCTTTGTGTCTTGTTTTTTTTTTTCTGTTACTGCATTATGGTGCCAAGTATCCTACACAGACATGGAGTGTGTAAGAGTTAAGAAATTCCATCTGTTAAGGTGTCGATTTCCACATGTAAGACTCTAAACCTTGAAAAAAACAAAGAAGAAAGCAGGGAGAGCTTGTTCTCGTGTCTGCAGCCCTCAGGCTTTGAGCATTAAAGGGGGCGACCGGAGATGGCAGCGTTTGTTTCTTTTATTTTATTCACCACACTACAGGTTTCGGACAGTTTGAAGCCGTCATACTGATTCTTTGTGATTGCTTTATTGTCATCTAAATGAATCACAGCAAGTGGTAAAAAATTTAGTTTTTCTGTGCCTGCAGGAGAGTTTGTACTTTTTTTTTGGAGGGGGGGTTATCTAGACAACAAAAAAAGCTTGTTTTTGTCCCTGCTGGTCATTCTGAGTATGCTGTAGGAGTATAAGCCACAGTCGGGTTTTTTTTTTTTTTTCTTCACTCCATCTTATAAAAGCAGACAGAGATTTTATTCTAGTCCCTTCTGGAAGGCCTGGCCTCTATTGTAGGTGATGCAGTTCTTAAGCAATAAAACCATTAGAGCTGAAAACATGCTGTGTTGTCTTGTGTCCTACTTCAGAATTGCCTTATATGACAAACAGGGTAGGTTTTGTTTAATAAGGGAACATTTGAGGATTAAAATAATTAGATGCATCATTACTTCAGTGTTGCCTATTTAGTTTTAGTTTTTAGATATTACATATATGCAAATTAAAAACATTAAATATATATATACAGACCTCTTTAGTTTCTTTGAAATTTTTTTTTTTTTTGCATCTATAAAAAGTCTCTAATACATAAGAAGGAATTTCATTCTAAATACTTTAATCTGTGAAATAAATTAAATAATATTCATTTTGTTGGTAGGTTAATGACCACATCTAAAGAATTCATCCTAATGCAGGAATATTCCTGATTGTCCAAACAAGGCCTCAGAGAGATGAACCTGTCAGCTGCAGTAGCATGTTTGGTCCCTAGGGGGAGCTCCTCTCTTCTGCAGTACTACTTATTTACCACTTTCTTTATACAATTTTCTGACACAGTTCATAAATGTAATACTAATTTAAAAGTTTTTTGGTGTATGCAAAATTAAAAATAGTCATAGGCACATTTTGTGTAAAATAAATTGTTTCATTTTTATTTTAAATGAAGCCCACCCACACGTTAAAATAAGACAAGAAAAGCTTGTTAAATAATTTATTCATAATACAAATTCTTTTTTTTTTTCTTCCTATATTCTTCCCGGAAGCAATAATACTTTTTTCTTCTTTTTTTTTTTTAAGCTCAACATAAAGATGCTGCAGTTTTTTGTCCCACTGCATGATGAGGTAAAACCAAAAAACTCCTCTGAATGAAAACAAAGATGTTAAAGAAAAATGCATTTTCTTCTTCATTTTATAATTATTTACAGCATCCATTTTTGCCTGCACCTCTGCGTGAAAATTTGAATTGAAAGTTGGAAAAAAAATAAAAAATGGCTCTGCAGATATTAGAAACTTTAACAGCTGATCATTACAGCTGAGGAAGGGAGACAATAAGCGCAGTTTGAACCAACATAACTTATCCAGTAAAAAATATATACAATCTCATTTCACTCATTGCAAAACAGACCCCTCCCTCCCCGTCAACACTCCCAAAAACTAAAGACACAATTTTCTTTTTTTTAGCACAGCAGATATACCCTGGTTAAAGTGAACTTTTTGAAGCCTCACAGGCCCCGTTTACGCCTGCCATTGGGATCATGCGTCTGGGATCCGGATCAGCATGGGGGTCGATAACGGAAACAAACAAAAATAAAAAAATAAGAGCTCACAACAGATTATTACTGTTGTTGAAAGCAAAAAAATATTAGAGCAGACCTTAAACAATACAAAGGATCAGGAAATGAATGTAAGGATTGTATCAGGAGATAAAGAAAATCCTGCACTAAATAGGAAGTTTAAATTACTGTTGCAATGATCAGGCTATTTATGGACAAGTTTTACTTTTTATTTTTAAACAGACTTAAAAAATATATCCCTACTTATGTGCCTTAATATCAGTCCCTGACACTTTCCAGGGTTAATGCTAATATTAAAGGATGAAAAAGTGCATCAAAGCTGGTTTGATGTGTATGGACCAAAAAAAGTAGGAATTCCTACTTTTAATGCATTTAATGAACGTTGTTTAAAAAAAAAAAATAAGAAAAATAAATAAAATGAGGGAATGGTACTGATCCGGATGTAATGTTTAAATTTAGCGTCGCTATTAAAAGTCCCAGTTTATGTTGGAAAAGGCAGGCTTCCTCCTCGCTTTTATTGTCCTCTTCACTGACAGAAACTCAGTGAATCTGTCTCAGTTTTTTTTTTTCTTGAGGTTCAGCTCAAACAAGGCGTTCTGGAGCTCTATGTGTCCAGTCTAGATGAAGCCCCCCTCTCTGGCTTTTTTTTTTTCTGCCCGAGCAAAAACAAAAAACAAATGCGCTTCCCTTCAAACGCATGTTGTTATGTCAGGTGGGAACTAATCAGGACGGGTCTCTGCCGGACCCCTTTGGTCTTTCGATCACAAGGTGTCCGAGCTGTTGCTGCAGGGGCTGATCAGGGCCAGGTTGGTGGTGGTCTTGTGCTTCTTCAACAGTCTCGTAATTTTCTCGTCGTCAGAGTTGGGGTCCAGCGGCTTGTTGTATTCGTCGTCATCCTCGTTGTCTGAGCTCTCCTTCATCTTCTCCGTTTCAGAGTCGTGCTTCTTCTTGGCTGAGGCCATCTCTGCTGCGTGCCTCTTCCTCCACTTTGTCCTCCGGTTCTGGAACCAAACCTATTAGTACAGAGAGCAAACTGTGAATAATATATACGTAAAAATATAATTAAATTGTGCAAATGAACAGACTCTTTGACAGGCTTTACCTTGACTTGACTCTCTGTCATTCCTAAGGAGTAGGCCAGCCGGGCTCTCTCAGGTCCAGCCAGATATTTGGTTTGCTCAAAGGTTTTTTCCAAAGCAAAAATCTGCTGTCCTGAAAACGTCGGCCTAGAGTGCTTCTTCTTTCCGTCTTTGTCCATCATGATGTTAGCCTGAGCTGAAGAGGAGCAACACAGAGAAAACTAAATTATTAAAAGTTTCATTTTTAAAGAAGCCATTTTCCAAACAAAAATGTTGAGTTATAGGATTCCTTTTTAAATAACAGAACAACATTTTCCAATGTTTTTTTATTATTATTATTATTTTTACTTCTCTTTTTAAATTATGATTCAAATTGTTTCACTGTCAGATCTTAAACAGAGAAATAGGATCGACAAAAAGTCATTGAAAAACAGAGGAGCGGTCATCCAATCAAAGGACACCCTTAGAAAATAAATGTATGGATAAATTGTTAAAATATACTATTTTACTTTGAAGGACTTAAGCTTAAAATGCGCCATTTAAAATAATCTCCCCTTAATTCCAATAAAAAGGTCAGCCTATTTCTGTTGTAAGTAATTCTGACATAAGGTCTACTGTCCATGCTCTTTTTTTTTTATATAATAAATATATTAAGAAGCCATTTAAAATATTATATATGCATTGTATTTTATGCTACATTGCTTTTGTTTGTTTAAGTGAGCGTTGTGCCCAAAAAAACACACTTTTTATGGTATTTCTGCCTGAAATGCCATTAAATATATAAAAAACATATTTTGCAATATTATGATATATTCTATAAAACAAAATAAAAAAAACTAGAAGGAAACGTCTTGCTGCACACATCCAAATTTAGATAATTTAGTAAATAATATAAAGTTAAATTATGTTAAATTAAATATGACAGCCTTTATATATGTATACACCTAAATTTGTTAGAAGAAAATATATTTAAAAAAGAAAGATTTATTTTGAAAAAAATAAATAAATAAATAAAATTATTAAGTGAAAAATCCTTACTTGGACAAGGAACCCGTGGGTCCCTCCACGGGGCCCCCTGCATGACCCCGGGCCAGAAAATGGGCGCCCTGCCGGGCAGCTCGGCCAGCGGCTTCGGGTACCGAGACACCGCGGGGCTGAAGTACATCCCGGCCGCTGTAGTCGCCAGGCCGTTAATCCGCGGAAAACCGGACAGCAGCTGCCCCGCGGTCGTGATGGGTCTCCCCAGGATGTCGCTTATTCCGTGAGGGGTCCCGCCGGAGATCTGCGAGCTGAGGTTGGACAGGGAGGGCGCCTTGAAACCCGCCGGGCTCTGCTGCAGCGCGTATGGGAACAGCGACGTCTTCATCTCGGTCATGTTGTGCAGCGCCGCCAGCGGGGTGCTGCCCAGAACGAACGCACTCTGCCGGTTAGCGTCCATCTGTCCGACCGCTAACATTTGTAAACATGAACCACCGAACTCACTTCAGTGGAAATAAAGCAGTTAAATTACTAAGAGCTCTACGCTTATTCTCGGCTTTTCCCAAAGTATCCTGTTTGATGAGAAAGATGGGAGGAAAAAAGTTCTTCTCTCCTGGGAACTTCAGACCCTGATGAAACCCCCCTGAAAGTGTCTCTCCGTGTTTGTTCAGGTCGCAGTCCGCTGCAGGAATCCTCGCCAAAGTCAGTCAGTGCGATGATGTTTTTAGCGGCTTTGATGGGAACCATTAAACAGCCCCCTTTTCATTCCATAAATTGACTCGCTCTCTGCTGGGAGGGAAGCAGATACTCACTGATAACACCACAGCCACCTGCAGGCGCTTCCTTCTCATTGGCTACCACAGAGCAATACCCCGCTCTGATTGGCTGAAGTAGTTCCGCCGCTGATTCACTGATAGGTTTCTTCCAATGATGTATTCATGTGCCGTCGGAATTCTAAAACATATTGTTGACTAATTTTTTCTCGGGATTAATGATCAGTTGAGATTAATTAGTTAAGACTGTCAATAAGTTTTCCTGCTCTTATCCTCTTGTAAGTTATTATTGCCCGTTACAAATCATTTTATTAAAAGATTTACAGCAATCTTTACAGTTTAGCTATGTGTATTTAAATCAGAAATACATAATTTATATTAATATACAGATATGTATAATGAAAGCCCCTTGCATGGGTAAATTAATTGGTTATTTGTATTTCTAAATTGAAAATACAATACTGTTGTTTTTGTGTTGTTTAATGACCTGAAAGGAAAAATTTTCAAGTCTTTAACATCATGATTTTAATTCCCCCAGCAATTTTTATATATTCATCCCCTTAGCATGAGATTTATTTCTAAATGTCCAGGTAAAGTTTAGGTTTTTTAAATGAAATAAAGTTTAAATAAAGGAAATAGAGGGGGGGAAAAATAACAGCGCCTCCCACAGTTATGGTATATGATGGCAGCAGGCAGAATTAAGAGCCTGAATAGAAATGTTTAAAACTATAAATTTGGTTGTAATGTGGTGGCTTTCAATGGTAGAATATCAAAAATCAGGACACCTTCAGTCGATCATCTGATTTTTGATATTCTACCATTGAAAGCCACCACATTTGGTGCATTGGCCGGGAAGTGGTAGAATTCTCGCCTGCCACGCGGGAGGCCCGGGTTCGATTCCCGGCCAATGCACCAAATGTGGTGGCTTTCAATGGTAGAATATCAGATGATCGACTGAAGGTGTCCTGATTTTTGATATTCTACCATTGAAAGCCACCACAGTACAAAGTTCAAAGTTTTTATCATGGGGAGCATATAAAGCAATCAAATCAAATTTAAATTCTGATGCATTTTTACCAAAAAAGACAAAGAAACTCACCTGTGTTAAAATTCTAATATGGTTAATTTCACCTTTATGATGCTTCAATTCAATCTCACATCAATAAACATCTCAAAAGATATCTGATAATATTTGTTAATAAATTCCATCCCAGCTGCTGGTGTCTACAAAAACTTTTAAACAGTCATTTTATGTTGAGTTTGGACTTTTTCACAACTGTATATTAACTAATGATGTAAAACATTGTATAAAAGTATCTAAAAAGACTTTAGCTTTTGTAAAACAAACATTACTGATAATAATCTTTCCTTTTGAGCTATATATATTTGAGCTTTTCAGATATCTAAAAGGTTTTACATCTCCGATATTTAATATTAAGACTATTGCATAGATTAATATACATCTAATGGTTTAATAAAGATATTTCTCCAGTTTTAATCTTAGATACCTAAGCTGGAACATGTGCCAAAATAAATTCATCATAATATGAAGTTTAATTTATTAGGTCTGAGACATTCATGAAGGTTTTAAACATAGGTGACTAGCCTTTTTTTTTTTTTTTTTTTAGGTATCTAATGTTATGTTGTACTGCCAATTAAAAAAAGATTTAAAGATGACCCCTACCTTGTATTAATTCAAACCATGATATTTCTTTTTCTGTACAAGAAGCAACTTGTAGTACTAACGTCATTTCCTGACACAGATTATTGTTTGAGGTATTCGGAAGGTTATTTGTTGACAAAATAAGATGAGACAATATTTTACGGCCATTAACCAAAGAGTGTCTCGGCCTCATATTTTCAGGCAGGACAGCAGTAACCCCTGATGGTGTGCTGTAGAATCTGACACCAAGATGTTAGCAGAACATCCTTATTGAGATGGGCCCTTCATGATCAGACTAGTTTGTACAGCATATCCTACAGATGCTTGATTGGATTGAGTTCTGGGAAACTTGGACAAAAACATAAGATCTTTCTAAATCATTATTCCTGTTTGTCATAAATGAATACCTTTTATTTTTACTTAAATAGAAGACATAATCTGGAACAATGATTATGTAGTAAATTCTGATGGTTGGAAGCACCCAAGGTTTTTTTTAGAACAACATCGACCCAAAGCAGCATCCAGCTTCAGCTCCCTACTTCCAAACCCCCTTCTTCCAACCCTAAATCGATATTAAAGCAGTTTTAGCGACACTCCTAACAGTTGCTCAGTCATCGCCGCAAGTCCTTAGTCAACATCACTCAAATCCTTATTTTTAAAACACTAACAATGAGGAAAGATCTTCTTTCTCCACACAGCAACAGGTGCCCTTATTTAAAGTGTATCAATATTCTTCTATTCAATTGTCACTGGGTGAAAGAAAATATGTTGTTTCACATCTACAAAATCAAATTCACAATACAATAGATTAACAAAATGTATGCTGTGAGTGATTTTAGGTGAGGTGTTTCGAAGAACTTCTGCATCTAAAGGGTCCGACCACTGGTGGGTTCACCTCTGGTCAGACCATTAAGCCTCTGTGAGTATTAAAGTTTGCCCTAAGGAAGTCTTTCATTATGAATTTTAGTATCTTGGCTTCATAATCAGGAATAAAAGTTACTTCTGTGCTGATTAAACTGCAAGCTGATTTACATCAAGTTAATCAGCAGGTGTGACGAAACAGTGGGCCTCTATGCAACTATCAGCAAATTATATCATATATTCTGAGGTGTTCAAGTTACATTTGAGATGTAAAGTAATTCTTCAGAACATTTACAGTTTTTCATTTACTTGATTTCTTTGCACATTTGTCCATCATAGGATTGCTAATATCCCTCAAATAGAGATCTAAAGGCTTTAAGAGTGTTTTAAAGTTTCCTAAAAAGCTTTTCTGAAAGTAAAAAAAAAGAAAAAATCTATTTGGAAGATGAAAAAAATGACACAGGAAGGAGCAGACTTTCAAAGGAACAGTAAATAGTTGGCTAATAAGGCATCACATTAGGAAACCATGTTGAAAGGCATGGTAGCCTATCTTGCTGGGAGGGAAGATTTTATCATAATTTAACAGATATTTTTTAGCTAAAATGCAAAATAAGTCTAAAAATCTGACCATCATTTGTTTTGTTGCGGGTGATAATTTATATCTAAAGCGAGTCTGCTGATTTTACAGCAAAATCGGGCCCCAGCCATAAACTTAAAGAGAAGAGAAAAATGTCGGACGGGACCTTGAATGCAGCATCAGCTGCAGCGATACACTCCATCAGTTTTGCTCGCAAGAAGCTGGAGTATCTCACACTGTAGGAGTTTTTGTTTTCTGGAATTAAAAATATAATATTTGCGTATATTTTAAGCGTTTATAGCAAACGGGGATAGTATATTAAATGCAAAAACGAACTTTAAGACAACAGTTAAGAAAATGCAATACAGGTTTTATACATTAATCGCAGTAAACTGAATAAACATTCAAATTTCTTTCAAAAAAATTTATTTTTATCATGCAGATGATGATAATAATAAACATAAAGGAGCTTGTTCAGTAACTTTTTTATTTCTGCACCGAATACCAATTTTAATCTAATTCCCGTTTTCTCCTAAAAGTGCGCAGAAATCTTTTAAGGTTTTTAGTCCAAAGTTAAGGTCCTGCAGAACATCATGCTTTATTTCTGAGTGCACGAAACCAGGGGCTCCGTGCACTCATCACCTTGAGTGCTGTAATATTTTATGGAGATGTGAGAAGCTTGAGAGAGTGAAATATGGCACCGCTGGTGTTTAAAAGGCTCCAACCAAATGCACCTTGCGTCTGATTTGCTCACCGCGGGAAGATCCGGGGTTTTAAGAGGTTTTCAACGCGACGTGATTCACAATTTTGACTGTATTTCTTCAAGCTTTCTGCAGCAGACGCGCATTTTCCAATCCTCTAAATGGCCTTCTATTTCTAATTTATCCCCCCCCCGTATTTCCCCCTGATTGTGTGCATTTACTATCACATTTGAAGGTCTTTCTGAAATGATCACATATCGGAAAAAAATAAATATCTCTAAATATGGGAAGCACAGCTGACAGAAGCAGGGCTCAACAGGAGGTTAAATGTGGGATCATCCAGAGGGAGATCAATGACAGAAAGATTGGTACTTTTTTTCTAAGCTCATCTGCAGCCAAAGATGAAAGCTGCCAGGATGGCCATCCCTGCAAACATAATCACAATTTAACTCAATGAATGATGAAGGTTTCTGGGTCGGAGACCTGAAGGTAATTCAAAGTGTAAACCATTCAACTGGGTTTAATCATTCTATTATAAACTAATAATTATAAGAGAAAAACCTAATTAATGTTAAGAAGAAACTTATCTATTAAAAACCTATTTCTGTCCTTTCTATATATATCATAATAACACATTAACTATTATTTTCTTGTAATAACTAAATTCCTTTTTTTATTATTATTATTATTATTAAAGGACAATTCCTTGATAAACCCTGAAGGTGAACTGAATATTACCAAGAACGAATTTTATAGATCGCTAGGTGCAAAAAAGAAAAAGAAAAAAAAAGGCTTTATTTATTTATTTTTTTTATTTAGGGTGTCTTTTCTTTTTTTTTTTTTTTTTTTTTTTTCTGGTACCTCAGCCACCAGTAGCTCCTGCTCACCTATGGCTGTCAGTCTGTCCTCACTAGTACGGTTTAACTTTATACATTTAGGTCAGGGTTTTTTTTAAGACAGAGCACCCACTATAATATCAGGCTTCATTAGACAGAAAATAAGAAATATGCAGTAGACTCCTATATTACTTGATCAACAGCGCCCTCTGGTGGTAGAAATTGGAAACAGCTTAAAGTGGATCTGAGAACCTAACTTAACATTTTGTCTGGTTTCACCCAAAAGCTTCAGTCTAGTTTGTTTCTATTCTATGTCAATGAGCTATTTAAGTTGGTAAACGAATGTGACGTTAAAATGAAAAAAAAAAAAAAATAAAAAAATGTTTTTTTA